TTACCTAAGATCGATGGAGGATGCTATTGAGACAACAAAGGCAAAACGATCGGAAGGTGTTGATATTTCGCTTTGGAAGTTCTTGGACAATGTCTATAAGACACGATTTATAACGAGCAACAGTTCGAGACTCATCCGACCTGCTCAGCCGACCCGGTTGTGGTATAAAGGTGTGTGGTTTTCCTACGCTACTCCGAAGTACTCTTTTCTTGTCTGGCTCGCAATCCAAAACAGGTTGGCATCGGGCGATCGAATGAGACAGTGGAGTTCTGGACAGATTGTTGCGTGCATTTTTTGTCGAAATGCCGAAGAATCACGCAACCATTTGTTCTTTGATTGTCCTGACTCTAGGGTCATATGGGAGGGGATCATCTCAAAACTCATAGGACCAGATTACACTCATTTTTGGGACCAACTTGTGAGTCTTCTCACGACTCCTAGACATAAGAACGACCTATTTTTGCTACGGTATGCTTTTCAAGCAACTGTTTATCAGATTTGGCATGAGAAGAATCAACAGAGACACGGAGCAAATGCCCAGCCGCCACAGTCTCTTATAAAGCTCATCGACAAAACCGTCAAAAATCGTATCAACTTAATCCGAAACGCGGGGAGTGGGGAACAACGCCTATACGGAGGTCATGGACGGTGGCTTACGACCCGTTAGAAATCCAACCAAACTATAATTTATTTTTTGTTCTAACAACTTCTTTCGATCTTCTTTATCAACTTATTACAAACACTCGATGCATTTATTATAAAAAAGCTCTTGATTGAATATAATTTTACATTTATTCAAAAAAAAAAATGCCAAACAAATGACAACCTTGTTACACCAAGTTTAATGGTTCAAGTATTGTTATGTATGGTGCTGACTCAATCCAATTGATTAATATTACAAGATATAAGTGTTGTTATGTATGGTGCGGACTCAATACAATTCAATAATATGTACAAGATATATTGGTCGTGCAGAAATTTGGGCATCTTTGTTTGGTATGTGATTTTTGTAGTCGTCAAAAATGGACTAGTGGAAAATAATTGGACATGCGTTAAAAAAAAAGAAATTGTCTAATTTTGGAAAAAAAACATTTTAAAAGTGTTCTTGCGTACTCATTTAACGTTCAAGTCTAAGACAGCTTGAAAAATAGTTAGAAAATATGTTAAGGTACGTGTTCAACTGATGCAAATGTATATGTGGATGTTTGTGGTTTTTTTTTAGAAAGAGCGGAAGTCCCCATAAAATAAGTTCAACTCATATTTATAAGAGAAAATTTTATTCAGGTTTAGATATCCAAAATATATATGTGGTGTTTCGGTTATGCACTTATCGTTATTTCTTGGTAATAACTTGGAAAGTATAAAGGTTC